CACCTAGGGGAGCGTGAGAAAACCAGCAAGGGTTGAGAAGGGGAGGGAGTGGGTCCCCAGCTCTGGAGGAGCAGAACGGCCTCAGGACAGCCTGGCCCTAACCAGGTGAACGAGTTTAGTTCGTCCAGGCACTGAAAGCGGGCTGGGGACAACAGCACTGCTTGTTGCTCTAAGAAGCTGCGGTGGTGTTGCTTTGTCTTCAGGGGGCCTCCCAGGCAACACTGAGCAAAGTGCCAGGTGACCCCCAGCAGCTTCCGACTTTGCACAGCCCATCCGGACTTGTCCAGGACCGAGGACACGTGCGTATGTTCCTGAATGCACCCTGATTCTTGAGTAAAGTGCCACCTATCTCTAATGGTTGTTTTAAGGATGCAGGAACACCCCCCCGAAAGCACCCAGAACAACGTCAATCTCAGCTCTGTGGGTGTCCATCTTCCTCCCTCTAAGGCAGGCCCATCTCTCACCCCAATTATACATTAATTGGCAGAGTGCCAATGTCACTTGGACAAAGCACCCTATTCTCTGATAACTCAGAAGCTTACAAGAAAGGAAAAAGACACAGAATTAACCACATTGTGTGAGTGTAAGTGATGAGGTTGATTCTCCTAAACATCTCCTAAACATGGCAATCTGACTGAACACAATTCCCAACATGGAAATTTCCATATTGTTTTGAGCAAGGGTGTGATCACTGGAAAAAGCATAGTCTCCCTACTTTGAAGATAGCCCTCATTTAGGTGTGTAAACTCTGGTGTCTGTCATTCCGTTTTCTAAGTCTTGTTATTATGTAATTGGCCTCATGAATATCCTATTTGTCATTGCCTAAGGTGCTTTTAATTAGCTTTTAAGGTCCTCAGAAATCATTAGGCCCACAAAAAAAAAATCTATCTGGACTGCAAAATTTTCATTTTTATGTTTACATTTACCAGTTGAATCTCTTCCATTACCAGGCAACAACTAACATCAGGACTTACTGAGCAAATACCAGATACATGCATTGTTATAGGCACTGAGGTATTACAAAAGAGAAATCAGACACAGTCCCTTGACCTCCCGTGTCTGCGATCTGACCAAAAACATAAGACAGCTTAACAGTGAAATCAATAGAGCTGTGCAGGAAGGGTCAACTAGAAATATCCTTAACAATTTTCACAACTCACATAGACTTTTACAAGGCCAAATTCAAAAGGAAAATATTTTATTAATTTTTTTAGGTTCTTCACTTTATTCACATTTCATTTTCATGTCTGCTTTAAGTTTTACTATGCCTTGTTCATTAAGTTTAAGAGGAGATGAGAAGACCAAAGTGAAATGGGACCAAAAAAAAAAAAATTAGATGATGTAAGTTTTTTGAAAGAAAGAAGCCTGTCAATGACAGTGTTTTTGTTTTGAACTCCATATAAACCATTGTTAAAATCTTTGCATTACAATATTTGATCATTTAATCATTCAATGGGAACATGTCTTAGAGCGAGGCATGCAGATTTTACGATGTCCACTTTACATAAAAGAAAGTGTACATGAAAGGTCATTTGACTTCTCCAAAATCTTCCCATGAGTCATAAAAGCAGATATCAAGTGTCCTACCTTTTAGTCTTTTGCTGTGCCCACTTCACCCTATGTTCACTTATTTCAAAACATTGCTACTTCCATGTATTTCCAGGTTCTTTTCATAGCTGATTAGTTATGCCTGCAATGGCTCAAGAAAATATCTTTATCTTATATGTCCATGCTTTCTCAAAGGATACTGGCACTCACTTCAGAGCTGGGAGGGGTCTTTGAAATCTAGCCAATGTTCTCATTTTACAGATGAAGGCCCTGAGGCCCAGAGGTTAAGAAGCAACAAGAGCAACAAGATCACAAAGGCGATCAATGGTGTAAAAATGGATTCTACGAGAAAAGGTTAAAGACACTGAAATTGGTTCCCCTAAACAGATAATTTAATAACGACCTTTTTGTATTAGAATTATGATTCAAGATAAGGATTTTTTTTTTTTTTTACTTCTCTCTGTCATTAGCAAAACAAGAAGGAATGAGTTTTGATTACAGTGAGCAAAAATAGTGAGGCTGAATATAAAAAAGAATTTTCTGGTAATTAGTATAATCAAAAACTGAGCTAGGAAACCTGGAGATATAATTTACATCACCTACAATTCACCCACTTAAAGTACACCATTGGGGCACCTGGGTGGTTCAGTCGGTAAACTGTCCAACTCCTGGCTCTTGATCTCAGCTCAGGTCTTGATCTCAGGGCCATGAGTTCAAGCCCTGCACTGGGCTCCATGCTGGGTGTGGAGCCTACTTAAAAGATAGATAGATAGATAGATAGATAGATAGATAGATAGATAGATAGATAGATAGATATAGAACAATGGTTTTTAGTATATTCATAGTTGTGCAACAATAAACGGAACCCATTTTAGAATATTTTAATCAACTCAAAAAAACCTCTGTACCCCCATCTTCCCCAGCCCTAGGCAACCACTAATCTACTTTGTCTCTATGGATTGGCCATTCTGAAAATTACATGTAAATAGAATCATATAACATGCAGTCTTCTGTGACTGTCTTCTTTCCCTAGAGTAATGTTTTCAAAGTTCATTCTTGTGCCATGTATTAGTACTCTATTCCTTTTTATTGCCAAATAATACTCCATTGTATGGATAGACCACATTTTGCTTATTCATTCATTGGTTGTTAGACATTTGGGTTGTTTCCACCTTTCGGCTTTTATGAATATGCTGCTATGAATATTCATGTGCAAGTGCTTGTGTGGACATATGCTTTTATTTCACTTGGGTATATACCTAGAAGTAGAAAAGCTGGGTCAAATGGTAACTCTTTATTTAGCTTTTTAAGGAACTGCCAGACTGCTTTCCAAATTGGCTGCACCATTTTGTATTCCCACCAGCAGTGAAGAAGGGTTCCAACTTCTCTACATCCTCACCAACACTGTTATTATGACTTTTTTATCATAGCCATTTTAGTGAGTGAAGTGGTATCTCATTGTGGTTTTGCTTTGCATTTCTTTGATGACTAATGATGCTGAACATCTTTCCATGTGCTAATGGTTACTTATATATCTTCTTTGGAGAAATGTCTATTCAGATCCTTTTCCCATGAAAAAAAAATTTTTTTTTAAGATTTATTTATTTACTTTGAGAGAGAAAGTGAGTGTGCACATGTGTGCATGTGGGGGGAGGGGCAGAGGAGAGAATCTCAAGCAGACTCCCCACTGAGCAAGGAGCCTGATGCAGGGCTCAATCCCACAACCCATGAGATCAAAACCCGAGCCAAAACCAAGAGTTGGATGCTCAGCCAACTGAGCCACCCAGAAGCCCAGAAAAATTTCTTTTTGAAAGGTTAAGTGTAGACTAGATTCTTTTTTTTTTTTTTAAGATTTTATTTATTTATTTGACAGAGAGAAAGAGACAGTGAGAGGGAATACAAGCAGGGCGAGTGGGAGAGGGAGAAGCAGGCTTCCTGCTGAGCAGGGAGCCTGATGCGGGGCTTGATCTCAGGACCCTGGGATCATGACCTGAGCCAAAGGCAGACACTTAACGACTGAGCCACCCAGGCACCCCCTGTATACTAGATTCTTAATCTCTGGGTTGCTTCACACCTAATCCTCCATTATATAAATTATATGAGTCCTAATCAAATGAGTTTGATTTATTCCAGTTCTTTCTAGTTCTATGAATCTATGGTTTGCAAGAATTTTCATATCTCACGTCGGATTTTCATAGAATGGAAGCTGAAGATAAAATGATTCAAAATGTCCCTACTTCCTGCAGAGAACTTTTTTTTTTTAAGATTTTATTTATTTATTTGAGAGAGAGAGAGAGAGAAACAGCATGAGAGGAGAGAGGGTCAGAGGGAGAAGCAGGCTCCCCGCTGAGCTTAGAGCCCGATGTGGGACTCGATCCCAGGACTCCGGGACCATGACCTGAGCTGAAGGCAGTCGCTTAACCAACTAAGCCACCCAGGCGCCCCTGCAGAGAAGAACTTTTGAGTAGAGGATCATGGAGATACATTTCAGGAAGGCCCTTTGAGCGGTGAGTCCTGCAAAACAGGCTCTCTATATTGGTGCAAAAACTGACACAGAAGGGGCCAGTGGGCAAATATGCTTCATTTTCTATGACACTTTGAAATTATTGCCTGAAAAGATAAACCTGGTTTTTGTCTGAATTACATTATGAGGTGATCCATCTTCAACCCCAGCTGAGAGTATAGCTGAGCTGTTTCCCTAAATGAATGATGTAACATGAAAACGTGCATCTCAAAATAAGCAGTTCAGCAGGGGCTCAGTGCGAACATGTTCATGAAAGGTACAGCCATGGATGGGCAAACCCAGCCCTCTGCTTCCAGGCCTTTCCCTTCATCTCTATAATAATTTATCATGTTGCTTCATTTAAATGTGAACATTTCAAAAATATTTTTTAAGTTTTTTTTTAAGTCTGTAGGCTCAACAGTCCCAAAAATAAGGCTCATGATGGTAGGAAGGAAATAAGGATGTACCCACTTGTGAGTGGGTAGATGTAAGATTTAAGAGTTAAGAGTAAAAAAATTATGACCAGTTCTGCAGCAGCGGAAGGCACCACAGTTGATCACTTGAACACAATATGAGTTATTGAATATTTAAGAATTGAGGATAGGAGTTTTTCTTTTTTTTCTTTTAAGACAAAAGGCCACTTATATTATCCATCACTGACATGCACACCACCATCCCAAATAGTAGTATTAAAGGAAATGTTATGAAGGTTACATGAACAGCTTGAAGGATCTGAACTATTGTTAACTGAAGAAGGGCAAAATATCTAAATGATAATTAGAAATTTTACATTTTAAAAAGGAGAAGAAAAACAAGTCACAGAGCTTTCTGATTACCCAAGACTCTTCTGGCTCATCTGTGGCTAGATACTGAGTGGCATAAAAGGCGAACAGGGCCATAATGCAAAACACCCATCACAGCCCTCCCCATACCTGATTCTCCAGCCTACCTTTATCTACTGTGATGCTTCCTACTCAACTATTCTTGCACTTGTTGTGCCTGCTGCTGAACAAATCAACAGACATTCCCCTGAATCCAGTCTTTGGTGTAGGTTTGTAATGCCCGAAGTTCAGCCATGGCAGCCAAGGTCAGCCAGCACCTTCTAAAAAACAAAACAACTGTCAGTATCATAGGGGTTGGAGGAAAGACTGCAATTCTTTCTTTTAATGTGTTCTTCATACATCTTATAATCACCTTATAATTCAGTCAGTGATTCTTAAGCTGCAAAAGTTCTGGTTTGGGATTCTTGGTAGGATCCTTGAGCAAAAAGCCACGAGGACACCTCACTGCCATCACCCCTGCCTGTGGGCCAAAACATCAGAACATGTGATGGAAATGAGGACAAAGAAGCAAGGAATGGAGCCGAGGAACTTTCAGAATTTGCAGAGACTTTGAAAGTGCTTAGACCTCACATGTCACCAATAAAAAATATGACCCATCAAGAAGGGTCTGAACATGTCCTATGAAACAATTTTAAAAACCAAAAAGTTGAGTTTTAATTAAAGTTTAGCTTTAATTAATTACAAAAATAAATAAACAGAATGATGGAATGCTAGATGTAGCAAAACTAGGTCACGGAGGACCAGGACAATCTAGGCCAAACTTGGTAAGTGAATATATCATATAAGAACTTGAACTATAAACCAAACTGCCAAAAACACATTTAATAGGGAATTTCTCGGGCGCCTGGGTGGCTCAGTTGGTTAAGCGACTGCCTTCAGCTCAGGTCATGATCCTGGAGTCCCTGGATCGAGTCCCGCATCGGGCTCCCTGCTCGGCAGGGAGTCTGCTTCTCCCTCTGACCCTCTTCCCTCTCGTGCTCTCTGTCTCTCATTCTCTCTCTCTCAAATAAATAAATAAAATCTTTAAAAAAAAAATAGGGAATTTCTCTTGTTTCCATAGAAATTTATCTTTACCTATTTTAGAAATCAGTTTCTCTTTTTAGTGGTGATTACTAGAATAGAATTGAAATCCATAGATAAGGAAACCACTCCTATAGTTTCAAAGCTGAAGTCCATGACAACATGCGTACCCAATCTGAGTAGCCCTCAACAGCATGAGTTTTATGTTCTCAAAGGTCAGAACTCCCTTTGCCTTCTGTGGCTTTGGGAACAGATTGGTTAACCTATAGTATCTGAATGCCTGGATGGACTATAAAGCTTGTACGGTGGGCAAATTGAAACAGGCCAACAGCATGACACTGCTTGCCTACAGCGGGTCATAATTGCAGTCAATGTCTCCATGGTGACCTCTCTGAGCCATGAGGCCAGAACTGTGGGATTAATGACATCCCACGACTGGAGCAACCACAGTGCCGAGAACAGCTCTGACTACTGTAAGTAAGCCCCAAACCTCAAATTTAGATGAAAAATTTTAAGAACCTAATCCATACCAAGGGACCAATTTGGGTGGTTTTGGATGGAGAAGTCTCTCTGTGTGAGATCCAGGAAGCCCTGTTAGCTCTCTTACCTTCCGGAGGCCCCATGGTAGTATCGACAAGGAAGGGAAAGGACAGAGAACTTACTAGACAGAAACCAAGAATGAAAGAATGAGAATACCATGACTGCTCATTGTTCCTTGATACTGTGTCTTCTTAGATTAGCTGTCAACTGCTTTCATGTACTTAAAGCATAATTTGTTTAGGGTTGCCCAAAAGAATGTAGACCGTTGCCTTAATTATGTGTGTAACCACCCCAAAACAGTAAGAAATGAGGTTTTATTTCATTTAGGTGGTTCCAGGGAGAAACCTTTCCAGGACCCATGTTTGGGCACAGCTGTTCTCCCTGATCAGGGTCCTTGCAGTACCTAAGTAAGACTATCACCGTCCGACCTTGTTCTGTCTCTGGCCGCTGCTAATTGTGTTACTTCCTTTATGACAAAAAGGTCTTACTTTTTCCTACAATTGTGATATTCATGATCATTTCACCATTTATTCACCGACTAACCAAAATCCAATCCACCAGGATTTTCTATCCTACTTTCCTGTAGACTCTTAATTTCTCAAGTGCCTCAAAATAAATTCTATTTAAAATCTTTAGAGGTCCTAACTTAGGCCTCTAAAAATATTAAAAATACTTAAATATCTTATGGTTGTGTCCTCTCAGAGGCTGAGTATATTTCATCTTAATTTTCACCTCACTAGTCAAGTAAATGAGAGAAAACATAATTCATATTCATTGTGGGAAAACTGAATCAACCACTAAGCAGTAAAAAGACTACTAACCTAATGGATTACCTTACTTAATTGCTTCTCCTAGAGTTTAATCCCCTAACTACGTATAAAAAAGTCAGGGTGCCTGGCTGGCTCAGTCGGTTATGTGTCTGACTCTTGGTTTCAGCCCAGGTCATGATCTTAGGGTCATGATCTCAGGGTCATGAAATCAAGCCCCACTTTAAGCTCTGGGATTCCCCCTCCTCCTTCTTCCCCTTCCTCCACTCACACATGCCCTCTCTCTAAAATAAATAAATAAATAAAATCTTAAAAAAAAAAAAAGACAAAATTACAAAGAAAACTATTAGATGCAGGGGACTTGTCAATGGCAATGCCTTTATTACACAGAGATTAATTTAGACTTTTCTGATGAGTTTTGCTCTATTCTGTCGCTTGCCTATACGTATATGTGTTGGAACATCCATAACTCTAGTCGTGGGAGACAGCATTGTGTTAGCATCTTAGGAGATTTATGCAACTGGAACACAGTTATGAACCCTCAAATTAAAAATACCTGGGCGGCCAAATAATAATTGTCATAAAGCTCATTCTGTCCTCTGTGCCTGTTTCATAGCCTTTTAAGGTTACCTGGTTTCCAAAGCACAGCAAACCAGATGATGAGAGCAGGTGACAAGCAGAGACAGCCATCATTTTATGTTGGCAGCTACATTAAGTGGCAGATGACTGACAGGAAAATGAAAAAAAAAAAAAACTTTGAGAAAAGCAGGCAGTGACATAAGACCTCAAATCTCAGAGATCCAGAGGAATTTCATTTTCAGGATGAGCAACCCTAAGTGGCTTCTGTACTCATCACCCTATTTGAACACAGTGTGATAACTGACTTAATGACCCTCAAATGCTGGGACTGGGAAGATAACCCTAGGGATCGAGTCCAACACTCCCGATTTACAGATGAGCAAATGGAGGCCTAGAGAAGCCTTCAGGGCCAAGTTCAGGATCATAGCTGGTTGGTGGTGGAACTCCCACTAGAACCGGGATCCCCTGACCCTAGTGCATCTTTTTTTTTTTTTAATGAAAACATGGTTGAAGCCTCATTGGTTAAACATGACAGTTGATGAAATAATGTACAGAAGGGTAGCACTCAGACACAGAAGGGAGGGAAGTCTTGTTGGCTAGGATATTGTGAATCTGATACATAAAACGGTGGAGCATTTTTAATATTAATATTTGAAATAACTTTGCTCTTTCAGAAAATTAATTTCCATGAAGCAGTCCCTTCTCAGATGTTAAAATGTCCGCTCTTCAGAAAGGTCTCCCCTGACCACCCTGTTAAAAATAGGACCACTATCACTTTCTATCTCCTTACTTTGACTTAATATACTCTATAAACTATCACTTATAGATACCTTTCCTCTAAAGCTTCTTTTCAAGTTAACAGCTTAAGTCTTGTCGTTTTCTTCTAGTTTTTAAATAGAATAAATAGTTTTCTTTCCTTGGAAGAGATTTAGCCCTGATTCTGAAGCTCAGAACCACTAAACAGTCAAGGCATATGGGCCGAGCCCCCGGAAGAAGTCCCTGCAACTGATTCTGCCTGAATCCAACCTGAATAAGAAATGATGGAATCCCTTTATCATGATGGTATTTAGACACAAGTACCAATCAATATTCCAGCTTTAAGCTTGTGCCTCTGTCAAGATTTTCTATATGCAGTTCTGTTTTAAAAGAAAAGACTTGACTTACAGCTGAATCCAAGTAACACAAGCCTTTCTACAACATGGTTTCAGTATCATTCTTATTTTACTTGGCACTGAGAGCTTAAAACACATTCCTGCTTTTCCCCACTCCCTTCCCACATTCTTTAAAAGGGCAGGAACTATTACCTCTTTGATAATAGAGCAAAAACGTCAGCATAAAGCTAATTAGATACACACTTCTATTGAGATGGGAGGACAGCATCTGACATCTCCGTATTAGTTTGAACTAATGTCCTTAAATAATTATTTTAATTCCATATTGTTATAGCCTTGTTTCTAAGCAAGAGGTAGAGAGGTAGATTCGATGGTAAGAGAGCTGAGTAGTTGAAGAAAATTTAGAGAAAATAGTATTTCCTTAGCACCAAATAAATACTATTACTCCTGAAGTACAAAAAAAATATAGATAAAAAATAATCCTTTCAAATAAAATGTTATAGGATTGACTTTTTCTTTAACATCTGTGCCTACTTGTTCTTCCAACTATCTTGACATTAATTAGTGGATTCCTAGGTGTCAGTCCCTTGCCAACCTGAGATCAAAAGGGAATTAGAATTTAAGATGACTAATCATGTTCAATGCACTACCATCGGTTCCCCCTTAGGATTATATTTATATTATGTGTGAATTATAAACCTCCTCTGCAGACGAACCATGAGAGACGATGGACTCTGAAAAACAAACTGAGGGTTCTAGAGGGGAGGTGGGGTGGGGGGATGGGTTAGCCTGGTGATGGGTATTAAGGAGGGCACGTTCTGCATGGAGCACTGGGTGTTATATGCAAACAATGAATCATGGAACACTACATCAAAACCTAATGATGTAATGTATGGTGATTATCATAACATAATAAAAAAATTTTTAAAAAATAATAAACCTCCTCTGCCTGGCCTCTTAAATGTTGGGATGTCTCAGGGCTGAGTCCTTGACCCTCTTGTCTCTTCCCCAGGTGATGCCATCCACTTCCACAGCCTTAAATGCCATGAATGTGATGCCTCAATTGGTATTTCCAGCCCCACCCTCTTCCTGAGCTCCAGGCACCCCTGTCCAACTGCTTGCTGGACATCCCCCACTTGGATGTCTCCTAGGCATCTCAAACTTAGCATGAATGAAACTCGCCTCTCAATTTCTTCTCGCCAGAACTTACCCCACACACATCCTCATTTTAGTGGCATTGTCGTTGCTCAGACCCAAATCCTAGGCAGCCTCGACTTCTCTATCTCACTTCCTCCAGAGGAGCATTCACCACGGAGCTCTAGAAGCTTAAACTTCCAGATCTTTCGCTCGCACAGAGCCCCTCCAGAGGACCTCATTTTATGTTCGGTGTTTCATTTTTCTTATAGAGGGGCCTCAAACTGTGTTAGGTTTCAGGTCCCACAAAACTTGGATCTGCCTCTGCACCCTACATCCTGCTTTATTTCGGAAAGCAAACTATCTCGATCAGACCACTCTGGACACTGTCAATTGCTGTAGTCCAAGCCACCTTATTCTCTGGCCTGGAGTACCACAGTGACCTCCTCATGCTCCCCCAGCCTCCTCACTCCCTCCTACTGTTTTCTATATTACTCCAAAATCACCTTTTATAACTGTTTAAATGTTAAATGATCTGTTAAAACCCGTCATATCCCTTACTTAACCCGTTCCACTTAGAATAAGTCATACTACTGAAGGATTACAATGCCCCCGGCGATCTGGCCCCTGTTTGCCTCTCAGCCCTCCCCTCATGGCTTACTCCTCTCTGGCTGTACCCTTCTTTCCTCCCTGGAATACACCAGACTCCATTTTGTCTTGGGACTTTTACACTTGCTGTGTCCTCTGCTGGAAATAGGAATTTCTCCCATTTCTTTAATCGTCTCATCTTTTAAGTCTCTGCTCAAGTATCTCCCCCAACGTAGCACCCAACTCCACCCAGTCATTCTTGACCCACTATCTTCCTTTCACTGGTCACCGTATGAGCTATCTAATCTACTCAGTTGACTTTTTTATTGTCTGGCTTCTTCTAAAAGATAAGCTCCATGAAGTTGGGAACCCAGTCCTGCTCACTACTGAATCTCCACAAGGAGTGCCCACTGCCGAGAAGGTGCCCAATAAATATTTGCTAAATAAGTGAATAAGTAAAATGTTAAAAAAAAAATGCTAACACAGTAAAGCGTGGCATAAAGCAGTACAACACATAGTGTGGATGGAATTAAAGAGTATGAACTATATTATGAGGTTCCTTTTGTTTCTACTTCATTAACTACAGCCAGCTAAAACTCTCTCCTGCCAGTACATGAAAATTTGAGTTGTAGATTGATGTCACAATTGATATTCCACTGTGAATGCCATCATAATGCATGAGGTAAAATGTGCACATCATAGTATCCAAACTGTGAGATGCTTGCTATAAATAGCAAATGCATGGAGAGGAAAATAGATAGACTAAATCATGTCAGTATCTCTCTAGTCCCTTTCCTCCAAAATAATGGCTTAGGAATGCTCAGGTTTGAAGGTGAGGAATGCTATCATCCGTGTATTCTGAATTGAATTAAAAACAGTGTGAAAATAGGAAAAAAAAACAGTAATTGAGGTCTGGATCAATTTCCTTCAGATCACTAAGGAAAAACAGTTTTTAAAATAACAGCTTTTTTGAGATATCATTCACGTACCATAAAGCTCACACTTTTTAAATATACAGTTGTTTACTCATAGAGTTTCGCATCCATCACCACTGTCACATTCCAGAACATCTTCATCACCCCAAAAAGAAACTAGCAGTCACTCCACCTTCCCTCCCTTCCCCTCCAGGCCCCTGGCAAACACGAATCTACTTTCTGTGTCTATGGATTGGCTGCTTCTGGACATTTCACATAAATGGAACCAAAAAATATGTGACTTTTTGTGTCTGGCTTCTTTCACTTGGCCTAATATTTTTAAGGTTCATCCACGTTGCAATATGTATCAGTACTTTGTTTCTTTTATTGCCAAATAGATATGCCACATTTTGTCTATCTATTCATCAGTTTATGTATATTTTGGATTATTTCCACGTTTTGGCTATCATGAATAATGTTGCTATGAACATTCATGTAAAAGTTTTTGTGTAGACATATGTTTCCATTAGCATGTATTTAGTAGAATTGCTGGGTCATATGGTAACTTTTTGCATAACTTTTGAAGAACTGCCAAACTGTTTGTCAGCTTGACTGCACCATTTTATGGTCCGATCAGCAATGTGCCCGGGGTCCAGGATGAGGGGTCCCAATTTCCCCACATCCTCATCAGTACTTGCTATTGTCTTTTTTATTATAGTTATCCTAGCAGTATACCCTCTTTTGGTTTTGACTTATATTTCCCTAATGACTAATGACGTTGAACATTTTTAACATACTCTCTAGCCATTTGCACTCATGTATCTTCTGTGGGGAAAGGTCTATTCAAATGTCTGTTTTGCCTACTTTTTAATCGGGTGTCTTTTCATTATTGAGTGTAACAGTTCATTATATATTCTGGATACAAGTCCCTTATCAGATATAGGATGAGCAAATATTCTCTCCCATTCTATGGGTTGTCTTTTCACGCTCTTGATGGTTTCCTTTGAAGCACGGAAGTTTTTAATTTTGATGAAGTCCAATTTATCCTTCCTCTCTTTTTTGTCTTTTGTAATTTTGGTGCCATATCTAAGAAACCATTGCCTAATCAAAGGCCTTATGCTTTCTTCTAAGAATTTTACAGTTTTATCTCCTATATTTAGGTCTATGCCCCATTTTGAGATTTGCATATGGTACAAGGCAGCAGTTCAGCTTCATTCTTTTGCATGTGGACATCCAGTTGTACCAGCAACATTTGTTGAGAAGACGGTGCTTTCACATGAATGGCCTTGGCACCTGTATTTGTCAGGGTTCTCCAGAGAAAATGAACCAAGAGGATATATATAAAGAGATCTATTTTAAGGAACTAGCTCATGTGATTATGGGGACTGGCATGTCTGAA